ATAGCTATATTAGAAATGAGCTTGAGCCAGGACAAATTTAGATCCAGAGCGAGTTTTCCCCAAAGTTTGGGTGTGTTCATATCCCCGCTTTTGGTTTAGGCCCTTTTCTGTTACACAGGCCCTAACAGATAGGTACTTAGTACATGCACTCAAAGGCCCTACTCTGCACAGAGGAGTGTGCAATTCTAGACATTCTGTGGCTAGAGTGTTATAAGAACAAATCTTGGGTCTAATGCTATTTGCCTCCCCTCTTCATGCATGCTAAAGTAGTAGAACTGATCATATTCCTTTTTAAACATGCACTTTAGGATTGGGTAATTGTTTCATGGAATCATAGGATATCAGGGTTGGAAGGGACCTCAGGAGGTCATCTAGTCCAACCCCCTGCTCAAAGCAGGACCAATTCCCAACTAAATCATCCCAGTCAGGGCTTTGTCAAGCCTGATCTTAAAAACCTCTAAGGAAGGAGATTCCACCACTTCCCTAGGTAACCCGTTCCAGTGCTTCACCACCCTCCTAGTGAAAAAGTTTTTCCTAATATCCAACCTAAACCTCCCCCACTGCAACTTGAGACCATTACTCCTTGTTCTGTCATCTGCTACCACTGAGAACAGTCTAGATCCATCCTCTTTGGAACCCCCATTCAGGTAGTTGAAAGCAGCTATCAAATCGCCCCTCAGTCTTCTCTTCTGCAGACTAAACAATCCCAGTTCCCTCAGCCTCTCCTCATAAGTCATGTGCTCCAGACCCCTAATCATTTTTGTTGCCCTCCGCTGGACTCTTTCCAATTTTTCCACATCCTTCTTGTAGTGTGGGGCCCAAAACTGGACACAGTACTCCAGAAGAGGCCTCACCAATGTCGAATAGAGGGGAATGATCACGTCCCTCAATCTGCTGGCAATGCCCCTACTTATACAGCTCAAAATGCCGTTAGCCTTCTTGGCAACAAGGGCATACTGTCGACTCATATCCAGCTTCTCGTCCACTGTAACCCCAGGTCTTTTTCTGCAGAACTGATGCCTAGCCGCTCGGTCCCTAGTCTGTAGCAGTGCATGGGATATTTCCGTCTTAAGTGCAGGACTCTGCACTTGTTCTTGTTGAACCTCATCAGATTTCTTTTGGCCCAATCCTCTAATTTGTCTAGGTCCCTCTGTATCCTATCCCTACCCTCCAGCGTATCTACCACTCCTCCCAGTTTAGTGTCATCTGCAAACTTGCTGAGGGTGCAGTCCACACCATCCTCCAGATCATTAATGAAGATACTGAACAAAACCGGCCCCAGGACCGACCCTTGGGGCACTCCGCTTGGTACCGGCTCCCAACTAGACATGGAGCCATTGATCACTACTCATTGAGCCCGATGATCTAGCCAGCTTTCTATCCATCTTATAGTCCATTCATCCAACCCATACTTCTTTAACTTGCCGGCAAGAATACTGTGGGAGACAGTATCAAAAGCTTTGCTAAAGTCAAGGAATAACATGTCCACTATTTTCCCCTCATCCACAGAGCCAGTTATCTCGTCATAGAAGGCAATTAGGTTAGTCAGGCATGACTTTCCCTTGATGAATCCATGCTGACTATTCGTGATCACTTTCCTCTCCTTTAAGTGCTTCAGAATTGATTCCTTGAGGCCCTGCTCCATGATTTTTCCAGGGACTGAGGTGAGGCTGACTGGCCTGTAGTTCCCCGGATCCTCTGTCTTCCCTTTTTTAAAGATGGGCACCGGCTCTGCAATCACATCCGCCAATTCCTTTAGCACCCTCGGATGCAGCGCATCTGGCCCCATGGACTTGTGCTCGTCCAGCTTTTCTAAATAGTCCTGAACCTCTTCTTTCTCCTCAGAAGGCTGGTCTCCTCCTCCCCATGCTGTGCTGCCCAATGCAGCAGTCTGGGAGCTGACCTTGTTCATGAAGACAGAGGCAAAAAAAAGCATTGAGTACATTAGCTTTTTCCACATCCTCTGTCACTAGGTTGCCTCCCTCATTCAGTAAGGGGCCCACACTTTTCTTGACCTTCTTCTTGTTGCTAATGTAACCCTTCTGCCAGGCCAAGTGATAGCAGCAAGGGCCGGGTTCAGTACATAGGGGTCCCTTCCCAACAGCGTGACACAGAACCAGCTCGAGCCCCCACCCAGTGACCTGGGAAAATCTTACACACACCCCTGGGCGCCTCGAAGAGGCAATAATTCCCCTCTCGCAAGCACAGAGCCTCGGTGTAGCAGAAAAATGTTTAATAACATGAGGTAAACGACATAGCATTAAATTGGGAAAACACCACAACTAGAGTTCATAGACCAAACCATGAGCGAAGACCCACCCCAGCAAATTGGGCCGTGTCCTTTCCCGTTGGTTCTTGAAACCAGCAACCAAAGTCCCAAAAGTCCAACAACCCCAAAGTCTCTTGGGTCCAGCAACCCAAGAATCACCAAAGTCCCAAAAGTCCAACAACCCCCCAAAGTCTCTGTCCCTGGTCAGTGCAGCCCCAGAGTTCAGGGGGGAGGGGCGCAGGGTGTTAAGGGGCACCTTACGTGATCCGAGACCAACCGGCCGCCTCTCCATGGGGTTCCACCGCAGCCTTCACCACGAGCCGCTCCACTCCACCTGCTGTCCCGTGAGCTGCTCCTGCCGTCCCACGAACTGCTCTGCTCTGCTCCGCTCACCGACCTGTAAGCCGCCCGGCTCCACTCCGCTCCAACCGTCCCCGCAAGGCTCCGCTCTGCCAGCTGCTCCTCCAGCTGCTCTGCTCCGCTCCGCTCACCGACCTGTGAGCCGCTCAGCTCCGCTCTGCTCTGCTCCAACCGTCCCCGCGAGGCTCCACTCGGCTAGCTGCTCCTCCAGCCATCCCCGCAAACTGCTCCGCCAGCCGCTTAGCAATTCAGGCTCCCCCACTAGTTAACACAGCCTCAGTGATCTCAGCTCTTAGTAACTTTAGCTCTTTTGTGATTTCAGCTCATAGTGATTTCAGCTCATAGTAGGGGAGCCCCAGTGCTGGTGCACTAGTGGCCCAAAGTGAACTCAGCTCAGCAGCCTGTAACTAGACTCCTAAGGGAATCAAAGTTAGCTCTGACATTCAACAGTGGAGAGAGGAGAAGGTGCAATTGGTGTTTCAGGCTCACGCAGGGGCCCCACACCACCAGGTACCAATACCTGCCCCCAACCTCTCTCAATTCACTGGGTTTTGTAACCCATGCCCCTTGACAAGCAAATGCTACTTAGGTAATGGTGACGGATTCACTCAGTCCTTCTGTCATACAACAGTTCCACTAGCCTTGATTCACAGAATCAGGGTAACAAAACTTTATTCTTCCTGCCCCAATAACAGAGAAACTGGGGATCCCACACCAGCCAAAGTAACCACTTTTGGTTGCTGTGGGCTCATGCTAGGCGTGTGGGTGTGCCTATGCAAACAAGATCCGCCCTTGGAGTTCTTTTCCACACTCGCCATAATTCACCACCAGATGTCAGGGTAGAGCTCATCCTGACTCTGCTTACACTAACATACCTGAAGAAACCCTTCTTGTTACTCTTAATATCTCTTGCTAGCTGCAACTCCAAGTATGATTTGGCCTTTCTGATTTCACTCCTGCATGCCTGAGCAATATTTTTATACTCCTCAGTTTCAGATGTGTAAGGTTCAGATGAAGGGGAATAAAGGCTTGTTTACATGGACACTTAGGCCAGATCTACTCTACAGACCTATATCGGTAGAACTATGTCGCTCGGGGTGTGAAAAATCCACTCCCCTGAGCAACATAGTTCTACCCCCCCATGTAGACCTCACTGTGTTGATGGGAGAAGCTTCTCCCATTAACATAGCAACCACCTCTTGTGGAGAAGCATTAACTATGCCAGCTTGTTGGATCCACATGGGATGCTGAGCGGCTTTGAACATCTGACCTCACAGGGTGGGACCTGAAAAGTCATTATAATTAATTGCTTCAGTGAACAGTGTTTTTCACCCTCTAGTTCTGTGCAGCAATTCCATTTTGGGGGGAGTCTGGACTCTTGCAAGGAAGACTGATTATTAGATATGAAGTGTTGCAAGGATTTGCATGAGCCACTTTGGCACCAGTTGCTGGGGAGCCTTCCGATCATCTCACACCTACCCCTTTTCACGAAGCATTGCACTCCAAATCCCTTTTACTAGGAGAGACAGAAACCAGAACAATGGGTCTCCACCAGCCTAAGCCAGCAACGCCACTTGCTGTACATAACGTTGTTTTGAGAAGGGCAGCGTGAGGCTGCCTGGTAGTTTAGATAGTGGAATAAGAGGCAGAGATGGAGGTCCTTACCCCCATCCTTCATTTACAGCACCATCAGTTAGGGCCCAGAGTCTGCAGGAAATCAGTAATTTGTGAATATGAAGTGGAGTTTAGCCTGCAGAATGCTCTCATTTTTCAATCGGGGAAGTGTGTGTATTTCAGGAGTCTCCAGAAGGTTGTAATCCTGCATGGCAATGATCTAATTGGACATGAAATGATCAGTATTCAGGACAGTTGTACTAAAAGAACTGAGATTACTAGCAATCAGTTGTTTTTAGTGTATGGTTCACATGACTCAGAGGGCAGGTCTCTGGGTCACTTTAAAGGACATATACATTCCAAGCCAAAGCAAAGTGATTTTTTAATACTTGCTTTAAAGAGATTCAATTCTGTGTTGACAACTCAATCCCCAACATCCACCCCAGAATCCCGGGTCTCCTAATTCATTAGTTTGGTTTCTTATGGTACTTGTTATAGCTCAGTTCTACATGAACCGGCAGGTTCCTACTTTGCATGGGTTGGGGTTAACATTATAGTCACAGTCATCTTCTGCCATCATGAACATGGTTTGGATTTACATTTTACTTGGCAGGTGGAGCAGGGAAACGGGATATTAGGAGCACTCTGAAGTCAACCTGCCTAGGTCTCAGACTCTCCTGAGAAAAGAAAAGGCTCAGCCTGTCCTTTTTAATTTGCTCTCCTGACTCCTATTTGTTTTGCTTTCCCCTCCTCCTAGGTACACAGTTTTACATAATGGGCATCATCAGGAACACGAGAAGCTTCCCATCCACAATGACCCAGAATCCCAGGAGTCCTGTTTCTAATGAAGACCCTGGCAGAGGAACCGCACACCTGCACACCAGATGATTTTGGGGCAGCAGGACTCTAATGCAAGCTCATTTGCCTGCATTTCCCTGGTGCCTCCTGTATTGATTTGATAGGAATGGCTAACAGCATGAAGATAGTGACTGACGAGGCTGAGGAGGGGATGCAATGTGCAGAACAATTGAGGAGACCTCTCTGTTGCTGCAGGAGGATGTCTGGACTTTATTAACGCAGCAGGGCCTTAATGTCAGTGCTTTACAGAGGTGTGCAAACTTCCATCCCTGTATACAAAGAGCACACACACAAGCCCTCGCACACACATACCCACACTGAGATTTATGGTTTTTCGCCAGCTGCCATTTTTTGCTGCATGCCGCCTCTTTGTTTTGTGGCCACAATATTGTGATCTTAAAGATTTCAAAGTCTGACTTGAAGCTGTAACGCTGAACTGCAGTAAATGCCTCCTTTGTCTGCTCAAGGTCACACCTACGCCTAACATGGTGCTGTCAGGAGAGACGTAGTGCTTATGTTTTCTTTCTGAAAAGAAAAGGAATTCTTTTCCTTCTCGGTTATCTTCAATGGTGAGATCTGTCAGTGTGAGCTGACAATTCCCTCTGTCCAGCGCAATATCAAATGGAAACAGTGTTTCCCTGTAGATACTTTCCAGTGAGGGTCCTGACCAAGATCTCTGGTAAAAGAGCCAATGAGCAAAAATAGCCCATGAGGATCTAAAATGCAGCCCACAGAGACATATCATCTTTGATATGGAGACATGGCCCACACAGAGACTGCAAGTCCCAGCAAGTGCTGATCTATATTAGCCAGAAGACAGTAGTCACAGTCTGCCCCATTTTCTACCTATTAGATGCAGTAGTCCTTATTTGGGCAAACTTTGGGCATCCCGCCTGTAAAAGAAAGGTTGATCAAGAGACAAAGTCCTTAGGGAATATCAATCTGTAATAGCTCACTAAGTGCCATGTTGATAAATATATGCCATCTAAAGAGCTTTTCTAGCTACAGTTGGAAGACAAACTCCTACTTGGGTGTTTTGCTTTTTCTTCCCTCCCCTCCCCCCATCCACCTATGAGGCTTAAAAAAAAAACAAAAAACAAACTTCAGAACTTTCAAATGTTGCCCGATGCACCTGCCCTTTTACAATAATCTCATATCCTAGCTACTTCCTGCATGCAGCTATTACTACATTCCTTGTAGGCAGCTTCCTCCTTTGCATGTAAATGACAGGCAACGCTGTAGATCTAGGAACCCTGGGAGTCTGATTTTCGTGCAGTGGGAAATACACAGGTTCTACATCGTGGGCCTGTAACCTCCTTAGATGAAGATCTAACCCAAAGATGACGGCCTTAGCCTGGAAAACAGAAATGTATTTTGTTACATTGTGTAATCATGTACAGATTTTTTTTAATGTAAAGAAAAAAGTTGACATTATTTATTATTATTTTTAAAAAGAAGTGTTTTTTCCATTCTAAGCTTCTAAAACATGGGAGTTTAACATATAAATATTATTTTATTAATGTTCTGTTGCTATGTGACAGGTATCTACTGTAAAAACAACCTGCTTTGAACAAAGAAAAAGTATTGCTGAGAAAGAGAATTTTGTGCATGATAACAGCAAGCAGGTTTCCAACCATGGTGTCTGATTATCCTTGACTTCCTTGAAATGTTCTTTGCACTTGGAAAAACTCCATGCTAAAGTGTCTCATCTTTTTCTTTTAAAAATCATTAGTGCACTGGCCAGGAATAGCCCTAATTAGATGAAATGGTAGAGCCAAATAATTTTAATTTAGAAAGCCCGAAGAGGTTAGCAGCAGGCACAAAACTGTTGGCTTTAATACTTCATATTTTACTACAGGCACTGGCAGTAAATATAAGATGTTCTAAGAGAGCGCGTGAGAGACGCAATTTGACAAAGGCCCAGTTCGGTAATCACATGCTTGTGTAGGGGTGGCTTTTCAAAAGTGCTCAGGATTGGCCTAATTCTGCTCCCATTGTAGTCAATGATACAATTTCCATTGACTTCAATGGGAGAAGGGTTAGGCCATTGCTGAGTGCTTTTGAGAAGACCATCCCCAAGCACCTTTACTCCTGTGATTTAGTTCTCAGTGGAACTATTTGTGTGAACGGTGTTTGCAGGACTCAGTTCTGTGACATTAGCCCAAGTAGTGTTGGGACCCTGCATTCATCCTAAGTGGCAACAGGGCTGGCTCCAAGCGGCTTTTTTGCCGCCCCAAGCGGTGAAGCGGGGGGAAAAAAAAAGATAAAGCTGCGATCGGCGGCACTTCGGCAGCAGCTCTACTGCGCCGCTTCATTCTTCGGGGGCAATTCGGCAGCGGGTCCTTCCCTCCCAGAGGGAGTGAGGGACCTGCCGCCGAATTGCCGACGAAGACCCGGACATGCCGCCCCTTTCCATTGGCTGCCCCAAGCACCTGCTTCCTTTGCTGGTGCCTGAAGCCGGCTCTGAGTGGCAAACAAACAAAACCAACCAACCAAACAAACAAACAAAAACCAAGTAAATCCTTTTCTCTTTCCCCATAAAAAGGCACTGAAAAAGTTCAGTGGAAGATTTCTGTGAGTGAGATGAGACCATTAGCATGGTGACATGTGCAATGGAGTTTCATTTTTCCTTCTTTTGCTCTTGGATTGTTATTTTTTCCTAATGTATTCTCATGTGCTTTAACAGTATATCTCATCTTAATTTAAAATAAAATCCTGAACACTGTCTTACTCATGGCAAATGTCCAAGGGGGTTCTCAATGGGACATTTGATTCACAAGCCAAAATAATCAGCAGCTCTGAAACAAAAAGTACTCCTGTTCTAAAACCCCTTAGTACATTTAGGAAACGTAAGTGTCCATGAACTGTGTCACTTCTGGCTAATGACTGGTTGGTACCAAAGTGCAAGAGGTTTCATGTAAGTTAACCTGTCACTAGCCACCTGGCAGCTACTATTTCATAACTACTCAATAGTTTCAGCAACGCTTCTCTGGTCGAAGTAAATCATATTTTCAAACACCAAAGCAATCTAGTGCTTCTCTGAAGAACAGGGGGTCTCAATCCTTGTTTTTTTTTCCTTCTCTGAAGTTTCAGTTGCTGCTCATTGATTGACTTCAGTGGTTTGTGAGTTCATAATTTCATGGACCATTCTGGGTAGTGATTTCCATGCCACTTTGGAGCACAGGCCTGGAGACCTGGTCTCAATCTGATTCAGCATCGCGAAGTATGGTGCTGAATAATATGTAACGCATCAGCCATTGAAAAAAATAAAGTTCCTCTATGTATATTACTGTCTAGTTCACTCCAATTTGTTTGCATTGTTTACACTGTATTTACATGGGACGACCCAATTGGACGAGCATTCGCAAGTGGCTATAGCAGTGCCTTTCTGGTTAGTGCTATTACACTTGGTGGGAAAGCTATGCAGTTCTGAACAATTATACCATGCCGTGATAGGGGGAGGAAGCAATAAGACATGAAGTCCAAGTGCTTTGGACTGCTCAATGACTGTAACAATCATCCTGAAACATCAGGGCAGCACTTTATCACCAGTTATGGAAGGAAATCAACATTCAAAAGTTAGGAAAATCAGGCTGGATACATAGCACGTTATAGCTGGTCAGAAAGGTCCAGTTTTTTAAAGAGCATCAGATCCTCAGCTTGTAAATCAACAGATCCCCACTGAAGACAATGGATCTATGACATCTAAGCATCTGGCCCAGAGTGCTGAAGTTGTTTCCGCATTTGCTAGCTAGTGAATCAGTGTCAGGCCTGATTCTCCCCAGCCTGGCATCCTGTGTCGTCATTTACACCAGTGCAAAGTTAGTGTAAAAAGCAACCCAAGCAAGTTGGTATGGTTTTACACCTGCTTTGCACTGCCTGTAAGTGACTATGCAAATCAGGGGAGAATCGGACCTCAGCTTAGAAAATACTGGGCAGCCCCTGGGTTACACAAAGAGCTCCTTAAAGTTTCCTTATCCTTAAGAAGTCTACTATCCTTCCAGGTGCTTCAAGACCTTCTCTCACTCTCTGCCCACCTCCTTCAGACCCCTCTCATCTCCCAATGAATCCCTCTCCTGTGTTAGGTACACATCCCAGTTTGCTCTAATACTGTGACTCCCTTGCTATGTAGTGAGTGTCAGCATGATAATTTGAAAAATAATGATATTTTACCACTCTTCCTTTCAAAAACCGATTTCTGTAAGGTGAGAGGACAGGTATAATTTTGAGAGACTGATCTGTAGGGCTAGTATCAATTCTCAGAGAATCTCACTGAACATCACAGAGCTGAGAGGAGAGTTTCTTTCTTTCTTTCTTTCTTTCTTTCTTTCTTTCATCATGCTCGTTCTAAAGCTAAGAATGCATTCTTGCATTTTAACCAATGACCAAATTCTTTACTGCCTCATCCATGCACTTCAGCACTAACCATCAAACCGCTGCATTGCAAAATTTACCTTCCTGCATCATTTTGCATTCTTGGGCATGCAATAAGTCCCTGAAGTGTAGACTGTGAGCCTCACCGTAATTCTGACGGTTAGATCCTTATATATCCAGCCTTTGGCCAGAGATAAAGGGCTAGAATCACAGCTAACTAAGAGGAAGTTGGCTGCTCAACTCATTGCTAACCACCCATCTTCAGAGGATTGCTCTGTTGTCAACACAGCTGATTTTGCAGACTTTTCTAGATCCTGGTGGAGGAACTACTTTGTGATCTGACATGGAGTCTGCTAGTGGGACCCCTGCCTAGATATGAAAATCCAAAGTCTCATTGAGAGCACTTCAGAAAGTTTGGTGATGATAAAAGAGGATGGCAAAGGAATGAGATAATTTCTTCCAGAGACAGACTGGAGATCTAGTCTAGCTCACACCTGCCTGGACAGCTTCCTTTACGTGGGTTTCATAGTGTATAAAGTACTTGATCTATAACGTTATGTACAGCATTATCATCACATGCCATCTTCAGTATGGGAAATTTTCATCTCACAGGATTATGATTTGGTATCTGCTAAAACTAACCCTCCCCCCACAACCCCCCAAATTCAGTCACCATTTTGCTGTGTTGCTTTTTCTAGGTGAAATGTAGAAGCATAATAAATGACTACACCACAAATAAGAAGTTGGTGCCTGCAAAATGGAAGCTCAGAGGCAGAGTGCAGAGGAGAGGTCATACACTTTAATTAATAGATGATCAAGACTGTCAGGAGGGACATGAGGCAATAACTGGATGACACATGCTCTGTAAATGCCAGCACTTCAGACAGTCAGAGGCTGCATTCCTTATTGAGATATACAGATACATGGCTTCAGGCCAAGCAGACTATCTAATAAACACCATACATAGAGATGAAATCTTATGGGGATATATGTCCATCCTACTTACCTCCCTTTCTATTATTTCAGGGTGGAATATATGTTCTCAGCTGTTAATCATGGAGTGGAGCAATGAATGAAAAGGGAGGAGAGGGGTATACCATCAGAAATATAGCTTACAATTTATTATAGAATCCTTTTCAAGCAGTCTGAAAGCCCAACATTTGACCCATGTTAAAGTTGCAGAATATGGTGTTCTGTCTAAACAGAAGAAAGAACAAAATCCACTGCTCTTTGGCCAAGAAATGTATGTAGGACCCACATAAAAGCAATATTCTGTGCTCTTCTATGCCCACTGGGTTGAAGTGTATTGGCTGAGCTGTGGAGGAAGGACTGGAATAGTAGATAGTGCCAGATATTGGGACTGAAGTATATTGGCAGAGCTGTCTGGGGAACACTTATACAGCTCTTCCACACTTTCCATATCTAACCTTTTTTGAGCATTAAAATTCACCAACACCTGAAAAATACACCTCTACCTCGATATAATGTGACCCGATATAACATGAATTCGGATATAACGTGGTAAAGCAGTGCTCCAGGGGGGCGGGGCTGCACACTCCGGTGGATCAAAGCAAGTTCAATATAACGCGGTTTCACCTATAATGCGGTAAGATTTTTTGGCTCCCGAGGACAGCGTTATATCGAGGTAGAGGTGTAATTGAAATATGATATAAATAACTGATATCAAGTTGTGTGTGTGGGGTGTATATATGTGTATATCTATATAAACATATACACCTCTACCCCGATATAACGTGACCCGATATAACACAAATTCGGATATAATGCGGTAAAGCAGTGCTCCGGGGGGGTGGGGCTGCGCGCTCCGGCGGATCAAAGCAAGTTCGATATAACGCGGTTTCACCTATAATGCGGTAAGATTTTTTGGCTCCCGAGGACAGCGTTATATCGGGGTAGAGGTGTATCTCCAATGGGATTATGTATTATTCCCTATGGTTTTGCTTTTGAAAGCCTAAAATTACACCCACCCACTAATAAATACATAAGCTACTTCTCAGTGCATCAAATAGAAAGATGAGAACAGCTAGTGCACATGGCAGACTCCTTTCTCTGTGCCCTAATCTCCTCACCAGGTTGCCTTCATCTAAGTGTGGACTCTGACCCTTAGCCATCTTTCTACTTTGCCAGCTATGTGAGGATGGCAGGGGGTGTAGAATATCCACTGGCCACCAGAGCTACCACGCTGTTAGTAAACTTGTATTTTTATTGTTGTTTGTGTAGTTATTTATTGGTATTACTATAGCCCCCTAGGAGCCCTAGTCATAGACCATGCCCCTATAGTGCTAGGTGCAGTACAATCTTGTGTGTCAGTGGGTTATAATTTCGGACTCATTCTGTCGATGTGTTGCAGTATTGTATGCTATATCTTCCTAACAGAGGACGCATGTGAGCTACTAAAGCCATTATCAGAGTCAACTTGATTCTGTGTGATATGAAATCTTGGCTTCCAAGAGTCAATTATCCTGTCTATAAACTTTGGCTGTACAGGAGTGGCTGCCTCAATGAAGGACACTTACCAGGTAGAACGTATAC